TCTCTCTCTCTCTCAAATAAATAAATAAAAATTAAAAAAAAATAAAAAAAGAATTATCTTTCTGAGAACTAAGTGCCTAAAAGTTGCCTTCGTTTGATAGTCAGTGCCCTGACACACCCTCTAGCCTTGGTGGATGAGCTGTATGCTGGGTGTGGCTTCATAAAAGTCATGTTCTTTTCTTTCAGCATAACACCTCTTCTGCAGCCCATGGACCACCAAGTGATCTGCAGTGTCAAGCAGCTGTAAACAAAGGCACTCTCCACCAGGTGTTTTAATGTCACTGAAGAGAAGTCCTTGATGGGGCAAGAGTTCAAGAAGAAATACTTCAATGTTCTCCATGGCATCTACCTCACTGAGAAAGCCTGGGAAGATGGCATGCACCAGACCTTCAACTCAGCCTGGAGGAAACTGGCCACAATATGTCACTGAATGGGACTTGAAAGGGTCTGATGCATGCATAGTAGAGAAGATTGTATCTAGGGACAAGAATAGGGGTCTGGACAATGGTACAGATGTAGAGGAGCTTTTTGATGACAATAAGAAGCAACTAACAATGGAAGAATTTGCTGAGCTCCAGAGTGAGCACCTGTAGGCTCTTGTTGAGCAGCATTGTACTAAGAGGAAGACAGTGAGGTTAGCAGGGATGTCATAAAGAGAAACGGAATGAGGAGCCAGGATTTCTTTGAAACACCCCACCCCAACATAATTGTAATAAACTGTGTTAAATCTGATGAATGATCCTGTGGTTTCTTATTTCTGGAGGGTTATGCCGTGCAAGGGAAAAAAGTAATATTAGATTTTTTTTCATCAAAATTGGCCCTGAAGCTAAGAGGAAAAAAAGAGAAGAAATCTCTAGAGATCTCCCTAGTGTCATTATTTGGGGGGCTCTCCCTCTAAACACTAACCTTTTCCCCACCCACCTTCCTGTCTTACACACCGGAAGTCACCTCATGCAAGGTTAATGTTCTTTTTCTCCTTAACATACTGCACTTTGTTTTATATTTTTATGGCTAAAAACTATGTATGATTCAAAACAGAGTAATCTCATTTATATTGAATTTTATGGGAAAATTTGATTCAGTTCATGATCAGTTCCATTCACAAACAGAATCACTGAACAAATTAAGTTTGTGAACAGAGGTGCCACTGTACTCAGAAGGGACACATAGGTTCTAGTCTTTCATTACCGTTGCGGAGGTTTGAGCATCTGTGGATTTGGGATTTGTGGGAGACCCAGGGATCCACCCCCACATAGATGGAGGGAGAACTACAGAACCCATAACACTCATGAAACCTTACTCTGCCAGTCATAGACACTGCTGTCTGTGCTGCTGCACAGGTGTGGCCCCAGGCCCCCAGGGCTCAGCCACTTACCAAGGCTCACAGGGAGTCTGTCTGAACTTGGAGGCTTTGAGGGATCTGCACTGTTCTGTTGCATGTCTGCCTTCACTCCTGACTGAGCAGCAGAGAATCTGGGCAGACTCCTTGGAGCTCTTAGAGAAACAAAGTCATAAGGAGTGCTAGAAGCATGGGACCCCCACAGCAGCAAGTCCCACTTGTCATCAGAGAAATGGGACACACTACACTTGTAGTAAAAGAGATCTATGGCTAAAGACAAGTCACTTGGCCTCTGTGAGCCTTATTGTCTACGAAATAGGTATAATCAGGTGGTATGAGAGTCAGAGGATCAATGCCCATGTAGGTGCCTGGTCCTGTGCGGACTCAAGTAGACTCTCACTAAGCAAAAGCTTCATGACATGCTGTGCAAATGGGTGAGGAGTTAAGAGTCATTTCCACAGTCACTGCCTGTTCTGACTCACTGTGCGTCCCCTTTCTTTACTGGGAAGAGCAAGTCCAGTAGACAAACACAGCCCTCACTCCGTTTCTTCTGGAATGTAAATGTTTTATAAATAGTTATATTATTTAGGAAATAATGAAAAACAAAAATTATTATATCTTCAATGCAGACACAATTTTCCCTTAATCCTTCCAATATGAGTTTGATTAAATCCACAGATTTGGAGCCTGTGGATACAGAGGACCAAATATGTATTAATATATTAGGGCATGAAGATCCAACTCATTTCTTCTTAATGCTGCATAGTATTTCCTTCTGTGGTGTTTGTCTCTTATTGATAGACGTGTACAGATATTCCAACTATGTGCTAAGTCAAACAAGGAAGCAATATTCTTCCTAATACACACATTCCTTTACACGTAAGTCTCTGCATAATTTTCTGAGTGTGCTAAAGGATCATGAAGGCTTAAAGAGGCAGATTCTTGAGTCTTCTCAAAGGCATTCTGGTTCCATTGGCCTGTGGTAATGCCCACGAATCTAAATTGAAGAAAAAAAAACCATAACTTACATGGACACCCACAGTTACAATCTCCTGGTTTCTGTTAGAGAGAAGTGTGCTGTCCTGTATGGCTGAGCGGCCAATGCCAGGCCAGCACTTCACTGCCAAGTGTATCAGTGCATCAGTGCATCAGTGCCAGGATCATTGCCTCAAATATGTCAACAGAAACTGACACAGGGGCTAAGGTCAAACCAAAGGAAATTTATTGGATTGTGAAAATCAGAAACCTGTGCAGTCTCATGACCAAAAGTACCCAAATTCGCTAAGGACAAAGGGTTGTCGTAAGCTTATGTGCAGTCTTGAGCTAGTTAGGGGTAGGGGAACCAAGTAGAGAGAGGTAAAGGGCAGACCATGGGGTACAGCTTATCACAAACTCAAATGTTTTCTGGAACACGCACGCATTTTCTGTAATGGACTGTGATTTTAGCGGTATGACCAGGGTGAACTGGATAGCCCAACATCACTATTCTAGAGGCAGGGCTGCTTTCTTCTATACTGGATGTGGTCTTCATTTTGTTTTCAATGAGGTCTGGGATTATGTATAGTACCTTCAACTTTAGGGTCCTGTTGGGCCTGTTGGTTAGGGTAAGCAAAATAAATCTACCACAAAAAGTTAGGAAAGTGAAAATTAAGAGTACGAGAAATGAGCCTCTCTCATTTCCTCAGGTCTAGGCTAACAACCAAGACAAAGCTTTGTGTGGCCATGGCTACTGCCCCTGCATGCATGCCTGGCCCTCTTCAAGAGGCAAAGACTCCTAATTAAGTAGCTACAGATCATGGCTAATCATGACCATTCCCAACTTCATGTACTTTTATTATTTTTTAATATCCTAAGAACACACTTGGGGCCAGTAACAGCAGCTGCCTCTTGGGAGAAGGACTGGGTGTGTGAGAATCAGAGTAAGTAGGAAACTTTGTAATGATGAACTAGGCCTTATTACCTTTTTAAAAATCTATGAGAAGGACAAACGGTGGTGGAACAGCCATACCTAGTACATTTAGCACTGTGGGACATTGACCAAGTCACTTGCCCTCTCCGAGCCTTGGTCAGGTACTGTGGCAACCCTGGAGTGTCCTGTTAACAGGTAGCTATGTGGATGACTTTGACACTTGATGGAGCTCATAAAAACCTTGCAAGCAACAGCATGAGGCAGAGAGATGCAGTTGAGGCTTTTATAAATGAGCAAAACAAAAACAAGGCCAACCTGGGCTTGAGACTGCACACAAGGCAAGACAAGAGACAAGGCTTTCCACAGTGCTGAGGTCCTGGACTCATCTCCCTGGGGAAGCCCTCACCTGGACCTGGACCTAATACAGGAGTCATTCCCTGGGATGTTTCCTACTCACCTCCCCAATGCCTGGGATGGTGCTAGGTGGGACTGCATCTTGGCCCTCTGTCCATGACCAGCCAGGCCTAGGAGAAGCTGCCTTGCTGTCCACACATGTCTTCCCCACTGACCTCTCCATGGAAGCAGCAGCATGTCATAGGATGACAACAGGTTGGTGAACTAAGAGCCCGTGGAGAGGTAGATGATGAGCCAGGAGCCCTCAGCAAATTTCCCTAACTGTGAAGAAAAACATTGGACCAATTCTGGAGTTAACAGAAAAAAAAGAATGTGGTTTTTTTTCCTATCAGAACAAAAAGAGTGGGTATGTTTCTCCTTTTAGGTCCTAAAACTGAAGTGTTTCTCTCAAAAAACAAAAAATTCAAAAGCCAGGATCCTGGGGACCAGATCTGGCATGTGGACATCTTCTCCAACTCAGACAAACAAGGGACTTGGAATACTTAGCACTTTTGAACTATTGAAGAACCTGGCGACCCCGGGCCAAACTCTATACTCGGCAGCAGCATGTATGACCACCATCCTGGCAGCCTTTTCACAACCAGCCAAGCTCTCTGTCTGCCACAGTCCCACTATTCCCTGCTGTACCACATGCAGCATCTCCTCCTCCTGCCACTGGTCCAGCTCTTGCCTCAGTCTTCTACTCTAGTGATCACGCGAGATCTTCAGAAAGAGTCAATATAAATCCAGGGCCTGGCTCTGACAGGCATTTCTGTGCTTTTGCCACACAGTCTGCCCTCACATTGCTGCTCCCCACCACGAACTGGTAACAAAGTCCACTTCCTTAGCGTAGCCTGGCTCTAAGTCTGAAGCTGTTCTGCTTCAGGACCCAGGACCATGTGATTTAAAGAAAAAGACCCACCATCTCTGAGCCTCTGTTTCTATAGCACTGACACAAGGGACATTTTATTATTGATATTCATTTTTACGTCAGATGGTTTTGTGGTTTGATGGGTTTGTATCATATGGTGTCAGTGGAGGCCCCAGGATAGCTAGAGGGTCCATAATGACCTTGCTCATGTGGCTGACAGCTGGCCTGGCTGCTGGCCGGGAGTTCAACTGGGCCTGGGAGCTGGGGGCTGGGTACCTTTTGCGTGCCTGTGCATGTGACAGCAAGG